TCAAAACGCAGCTGCAGCTGGATGAGAGGGCCAACCCTCCTCGGTACCGAGGCATCGGTGAGATTTTGCCTGTTTCAAAAGCAAGGGGAAGGTGCAGGTGGCCGGCAGGGGAAGCCCCTCACTGAAGACTTGCTGATACTAGTCACTCATTGTGGCTAAGATTCAGGGCCATTTTGGACCACCCTCTCTTGCTTTCTGGTCACACCGGCATCTTGTTCTGTACTCTAACCATGAGCAAGCAGGGCTATTTTGGGGCAGGAATGGAGTTCCGGCTGGCTCCTGAGTTGGCCACACCCAGCAGGAACTTATTAGCATAATAGGCCACACCCAACAGCAGAAACTCATTAGGATTGGCTACATTAGGGGTGTGTGGCCTAACATGCAAAGGAGTTCCTGCTACAAAAAAAGCCCAGGGTTTTGGCAACAAACAAGGTAAACAGAATAAGAAGCAAAAGGTGGGTGTGGCTGGATGAGCACACTTCTGGTAACATGGGGGTGTGGCCTAATATGCCAATGAGCTGTGCTATCAGGGGTGTGGCCTAATATGCTAATGAGTTTCTGCGGTTGGGTGTGGCCTATTATGCTAATGAGTTCCTGCTGGGCTTTTTCCACAAAAAAAGCCCTGTGTGCAAGCCACTGTTCCTCCTCCCCCTTTGCCACACATCCTACCCCAAAGAAATGTGCCACACATGCCTGTGATGAGGCCCAGCCCTCTTCCTCAGCGAAAGCAGGGTTTGGATAGGTGAAGCTGCCTCATAAAACACCAAGCCATTGGTCCATTGAGCTCTGACTGGCAGAAGCCCTCCAAAATCTCCTTCCTGACACTTGACATCCTTTAACTGGAGATTTCAAAGACCGAACCTGGCACCTTCCATATGCAAAACAGGTACTTTTTCACTGAGCCGCAGCCCCTCCCCTTCATTTGGGCTGGGCTTGACACCAGGAATTGGGTCTCAACCCCATCAGGTAGGAATGAAAAAAGAGAGCCCTTGAGAAAGGGCAGAATGCCTGGGAGGTCATCTGCTCAAGGCAAACGAGCCTAGCTGTGTCCCATCTTCACTGTACTCACAGAGGCCTTGGTAATGCCTTGCAGGTCATTGTGTGAGGCTGACTGTGCAGGACCATGGCTTCCGAGGGCTGTACCGGGGCCTCAGCTCTCTGCTGTATGGGTCCATTCCAAAATCTGCCGTCAGGTAGGCTACTCCTCATTCTTACATCTGTTTATCCTTTCACGTGTGGACAGAGAGCTTACTTCCTGTCAGTGCCTCCCTTGATTTATCCCAACATTCTAAATGGCTTTCTTGCACCGTAGCAATTTTGGGTTTGGATTGGATACACCTAAGTGCACCCCCTCCCTTCTCTAGAGGAAGATACGCTGACACAATCCTGGTTTTTGGCAGGTTCGGAGTCTTCGAGTTCCTCAGCAGTTACGCCAAGGACTCAAATGGGAAACTGGACAGCAAGAAGAGTTTATTCTGCGGCCTTGGAGCAGGTGTGGCCGAGGCCGTGGTGGTTGTCTGTCCCATGGAGACTATCAAGGTAAGGGAAGCATATTCTCAAGGGCTGTTGTCTGAAATCTCTCTTCTTTCAGTTGCCAGGCACAACCGGTTGTGTGCAAGCTCTGCTGAGCAGAGGTGCTTGTTGGTTCCACCCTTGGCCTGAGGGGACCACCATCTAGAGCATTAGACTTTGATCGTGTGGGATGGGAAAGGAAGAAGAGCTAGATTCTACAGCCTGGGCCCTTCTAGATTGGACTGGAGCAGTGCACCTTTCTGATTAGTACAATAAACAGCCACAGTCTCTCTTGGAGGGAGGAGGAACCAAACATCTCAGCGATCAAGGGGCAGCGTACAACTGGACAATGGCCCTCCTTGCTTTGCACATAATGGGGAGAGCTGTGCTGCCGAACCCCCATCAGCTGAGAAAATGGTTTCCCTGAAGCATAAGGGAACTCAGAAACTGTGTGCTCTCTGATGCCTCTGGGGCTGATGTAGCACTGGTTGTCTGCAAGCAAAGCTTTGCAAATGGGGGACAGCTACTCTTTCAGTTCCCGTTTCTTGTCGTAGCTGTGATTGCACGTAACATGTGCTGCTGATGCTAACAGTGTCCAATGCTACAGTGTCTCCAATACTAACCAGTATTTGGAAGCCAAAGTTTGAAATGGGTTCTGGATACCATGGTTCTGAAAGCACCTGGCTGGCACTAGCCTGGTTGCAGAGCACGGCTGGCTCCCCCACCCCTGTGATATCAGAGGCCTTGCTTGGCCAGCAGAAGACACAGGGACTCTTATCGTGCCATAGCACAATATTATTGTGTGTGGATCAGGAGTCATTTCGTAGAAAAAGAGCTAGGGGAACTCATTAGCATAACTCATTAGCATATGCCACACCTCCTGACATCAGGGGCCCGGCGGTGGACCTGCAAGGCCGGCGGGAGTGCGAGGAAGCCCCGCCAAGGCCCTTCCTGGCCCCAGGCAGGGGTAGGGAGAGTCGGGGAGGAAGCAACTTACCCTCCCTCTTCTCCTGCCTCCTCCTGGCTAAATGAGGGCTGGAAGCGGGGTGGCCAGAAGCAGGGGGCGGAGCTTCGTCATGTGCCCTGCCCCCCTGCACCTCACCCGGGGGAACTGCGTTCCCCCCCGAAATGACCTCTGATGTGGATGGAGCTGTGGCTCCGTGGCAGAGCATTGGCTTTGCCTGCAAAAAGTCCCAGCTAAAGACTCCAGCATCTCCAGTGAAAAGAGTGTCAGGGAGTAGGTGATGGGAAAGACCCGAGACCCTTGTGTGCTGCTGCCAGTCAAACTGGACAAGACTGACCTTGATAGATCAAAGGTCTGACTCAGTAGAAGGCAGCTTCAAGTGTGTCTGTCTGTTGCTTCATGTTGGTGGCAGCATCGTGGCTTTCTTCTCTTGTATCATTTCCTTCCTCCAAGTTTTTATGCTGAAATAGTCTTTGCAATCGGTACAGGTGAAGTTCATCCACGATCAAGGCTCTCCCAATCCCAAGTACCGGGGTTTTTTCCACGGGGTCCGTGACATTGTGCAGGAACAAGGTAAGATCTCACTGAAACACAAATTGCTCCAGCCCCTACAGTGGCTGAGGAGCAACTCTTTCCTGGTTAATGTCCCTCAAGGGAATGGATGGAAGACAATTGGTTTCTATGGATGAGACGTTTCTTCTAGGGTTGTGGGAATTTATCGGCTTGTTCTGTGGGCCCGCACCGTGATCCCGGCAGCATTTTACAGTGCAATCCAAAGCAGAGTTGTACCCTTCTAAGACAAACAAAGTCACTGATCTAAGAAGGGCGTAGCCATGTTTAGGATGGCACAGTTAGTCTCCCAGCAACCTTGTGAGGTAGGATAAGGCTGAAAGCATGACTTGCCCGAGGCTGCTCTTTAAATTTCTCTGCTGAGCAGAGATTTGGACTAAGGGTTTGCCCCATTCACTCACAACAGTCTGACCACTGCTCTGAACTGGCTATAAAGAGGATGAATCTGAGCTTCTATTTGTATCAGAGGGGCTATTCTTTCAGCTGCACGCATGGCCCATTCTTATCAGCACTGTGGAATAAATAAGTAAAGGCACATGAACTCTGGTAACTGGTGACAGTGAGTACCCCGTACTGGTCAGTTTTGTTCTGGAGCTCCAAAATCAGGGGTCCCCAACGTGGTGCCCCTGGGCACCCTGGGACCTACAACACCTTTCCTGGAACCCTCAAAATGTTTTCAGAAAGTGGGAGGGGCCAGGTAGTGCATTTACCCAGCAAGGCTTCTAATTGGCCGTTGGAGATTTGATTTTCTGTGCAGATTTTTTAAAATGTTGCTTTGGCAGCAGCTACCATCGCTGCACGAGGATTTGCACTGTGTGACTGAAGGGAAGCTGCAGCAGTCATTTTTTGGCTGGCTCCCCTTCCTGCAGTAGTCGTTTATGGCAGCCATTTCATGGCTGTGCCCACTATGCCATATCAGAATTCCAAAAAGCGCCTGCAGGCTCAAAAACATTGGGAACCCCTGCCCTAAATTCTCTCAGTGGCCCTTGTCCAGAGTCACATGGGATCCAGCTACCCTTGGGAAACAAGACAACCAAGTGTGGAGGCCCCTCTTTCTTGCAGGTCTGCGTGGGACCTATCAGGGACTCACAGCCACCGTCCTCAAACAAGGCTCCAACCAGGCCATCCGGTTCTTTGTGATGACCTCTTTCCGTAACTGGTATCTAGGTAAGGATTGGGGGACCTGCTCACCCCTGACCCAGATCCCGTATGCTCGTGTCTGAGTGTGCTAGTGCAAGGAGCCCGCTTTGTAATGATGGCTCCTCATGGGTGCTTTCCAAGGTTATTTCTTTGGATGACCCCAATTCTGTAGATCTTGGTTTTGTAATCTTCCTTTTGTCTGTCCACCGGCTTGCTAGGGGACAATCCCCACAGGGAGATGAATCCCTTTGTCACAGCTGTGTTCGGGGCAACCGCAGGTGCCGCCAGTGTCTTCGGCAACACTCCCCTGGATGTCATCAAAACCAGGATGCAGGTAACAAAACCCCACAAAGCTGAAGGAAGTGAACGGATTCCATGTCTTCAGGGTTGCCAGAACAGCCTTCCAAAGTGGATCTCCTACAGTGCCTTAAGACTCCGCAAGAATATGCAGATGATTCCAGTTTTGTGTAGTGGTTAGGAGCGTGGACTCCAATCTGGGAGAACCGGGTTTGATTCCCCACTCCTCCACGTGCAACTGCTGGTGTGACCTTGGGTCAGTCACAAGTTATCTCAGAGCTGTTCTCGAAAGAGCTCTCTCAGCCTCACCTACCTCACAGAGTGTCTGTTGTGGGGAGGGGAAGGGAAAGGAGATTGTAAGCTGCCCTGAGACTCCTTCAGGTAGTGAAGGGCAGGGTATAAATCCAATCTCTTCTCCTTCTTCCTGTAGTGTCATTGGCCAAGAGTTCACAAATAAGGCCTGATGGTGGTGAAAGCCACCAGGGTCTGGTCACCTAAGATATACTGTCTCTGAACATGGAAGCTCAGCATCTAGGCTCTTGTAGTTACTACGTACTGATAGACCTGGTTGTTGATGGACTCCTTTTTGGCAGTGACTTTCAGAAGCTGGCCAAGCAATGGGTAAAGGAGGGTGTCCTTGGACATGCCTTACAACAGCTGCCTGGCCATTTTTAACAGCCGTCCCAGAGCTCTTATGTTCTGCCACAGCTTCGTGGCCCCTGCCGTGTCCCTTCTCACGTACCTCCCAGCTAATCTGGGAGGTAGGGCTCATCTTTAGGAAAGATGATCCACCACCTGCACCTTGGTTTGGCTTCTGGTGTTCTCTTCGCTTGGAATGCTATTTCTGAATCGCCCGCAACTCACGAAAGAGGGAGAAGCCACTTACTTGGGGGGGGGGGGGGGGCATTTTCAACAGCTGTTGTTGCCCTTGATGTGAAGCAAGAGTTTGCGCTCATTTGCTCCTTCCTCTCTTCTTTATTTTTCTTTCCAGGGACTGGAAGCCCACAAGTACAAGAGCACGCTGGATTGTGCCTACCAGATCCTTAAAAACGAGGGCCCCACAGCGTAAGTGAATCCACTTTTGCCTGTTGTAAATGGACATCCTCCCTCCCAGAGATCTTTGCCAGTGAAATGTTTGCAACCTTTAGATCCCACCTTTACCCAGTGTGTCCATGTATTTTAGCCTCATGACAACTCTTCAAGGTAGGCCAAGCTGAGCGAAACTGACTTCTCTAAGACCAACACATGAGCTTGTAGCTGAGGCAATCATCCTAGGCCCAAGACCAGACCCTGCACTGTGCTGGATTTTATGGATTGTATTCATGATTTGGTTTATTGCATGCCCATCACTGACATGATATTACTTTGCCTTGGAAGGAAAAGCACAATAGCAGGCTGAATCAGGGCTCATAAACAGAAGAGCAATACGAGGTTGAAGTTTTGTTGATAGCTGGGAAGGTTGATTTGAGAATCGGCGTTCAGCCTATTTTGGCTGCACTTCTTCCTAAAAGATCAAATTTTCAACTCTGGAGTGCTGTTGGGCCTGACCTTGCAGTTGAATGCACAGACACCTGTATTTTTCTGAGCCTGTCACCAACCAACCCACAGCCCCTTCCTGCAAGGACTTAATCTTGCAATTGTAATCCATTTATTGGGAACATCTCTGTCATTACTGTATTGCCCTGTATGCAGCCCTCTTATAAACAGTGTTAGGTGGGTTAGTGGTAGAGCATCTGTTCTGCATGTGGAATGTCCCAGGTCTAATCCCCAGTGACTCCTGCTAGACATTTTAATCCTGTTAAAAGGATCAGGGACAAGGTGATGTGAAAAACCTCCACCTGAGACCCTGGAGAACAGCTGCCAGTCAGAGTAGACAACACTGACCTTTTAGGATAAGAAAAGAACAAGAGTCTAGTAGCATCTCAAAGACTAACAACATTTGTGGCAGGATATGAGCAGGGCCGGCTCCAGCTTATTTTGCACCCTAGGCAAGGATCCCTTCCCCTCCCCCCTCCCCCCTCAATCGCCTAGTTCGCCTAGTGAGTGAGCCGGCCCTGGGTATGAGCTTTTGTGAGTCGCTGCTCACTTCTTCAGATACAGCTAGAATGTGAGTCCACTTGTCCTCACTCTCCAAGATATAAGGACAGATGGACTCTAGCTGTATCTGAAAAAGGGAGCAGTGACTCATGGAAGCTCCTCCCCTGCCACAAATTTTGTTAGCCTTCGAGGTGCTACTAGACTCTTGCTCTTTTCTGCCGCTACAGACAAACTAACATGGCTGCCCATCTTGATCTATCTTTCAGAATAAGGTAGTTTCATGTGTTCATGGGAAACCATCCACCCACATTTTGAATGCCCTGTCTAGATGTGTCAGGCACCTACTTCTTTGAGTATCCTGCTGCAATTATTTTTCACCCATCAGGCATTTGGCTGCTGCTCCTAGTTCTGATGATTAAGTGCTTATCTTTTTTATTGCTGTTGACTGCTAGACATTTATTTTGTTATTGTCACAAGCTGCCTTGGAGATCTGGTATTTTGGGAAGGCGAGATATTAGGTGTTTTAATACCTAAATAAAACAAGGAAGAGTATGTTGGGTACTGTCTTCCGTGACATCTCCTTTTTGGGTCATTTTGGGGCTGAAGTGATCTGCCACCTAGGAAGGCCAGTTCCCCAGATATTTTTAGCTCACATGCTTGAATCACTAGGAACAGTTTTCTCTCCAGGTAGGACTCTTGTGGCTCCCATTAGATAGGTTAATTAGTAGGTGCACTAAGTGGATGGTTGGACACAATAATACTTTTGTTTAGGGGCTCTTTTTTTTGTTCTTTCTATCTCTGGTTCCACAAACCAGCAATCATTCTTTTTTTTCTTACTCTGCATTTTCCCACCTGCAGATTCTACAAAGGGACCGTTCCCCGTCTTGGCCGGGTCTGTCTGGACGTGGCCATTGTGTTTGTGATTTATGAAGAAGTGGTAAAACTTCTCAACAAGGTTTGGAAAACCATTTGATGCCCTTGGCCTAAATGGCTCTTAGAAGGCTGTTGTATTCTCGAATACTAACAAATGTAATTTTGTTTGTGCGGCCACCTGCACCAACGGACTCTTGACTGCTGCGGTGAACTGTTCACGGGAGCATTTCCAACGAAAAGGCCGAGTGAAGATCTGGCAATATTCTCCCACCACACACCTGCTTCGGGACTTTGGCACTGTATGCAAGTTCACAGATGCTTCAAAAGTGCAGTGTGTCTCATCTCCTGAGGGGGGCGATGCAGCCAAGCTTTGTTCTGTTAGTATCATTTTGGGAGCACTGAATCCAATGTGGTTTACGCTCCAGTGGGTGCACGCCTTTTATTTAACAGGAAACATGATTTAAACCCATTTGCCAGCTGAGTCAGCAGAGGCCGCTGTATTTAGCACAAACAAGGGCTAACAGATTTACCCCAATTAACTTACATGCTCACAAACTCCTCTTAAACACAGGTGACTGCTACTTCATCCTTTTATGGTGAAGGGCCAGCATACACCATTTGATAGTACTCAGAGTGGCGCAGCCTTTTGATCCATGGCGGTCTGGGAGGGCTAAGTGGCAAATGGGGGTGGGGCTGCCAAGCTGGGGCTTCTTTAGCACAACACTATTCTTAAGCATGGACAATCCATGTCACTCCTCCCGAACCGTTCGCAGAGGGGAGGACATGCATCCTCTGCCCCTCCCTTTGAAATCCTCCATGCTAAACCCTTGCAAGATTAGGCAGGAGTGTAAAATGGCTTGCGAGAGGGAGTGTTTCTGGCTCAAGGACCTGACCTGCAGCATCCTTAATAGCTTTTTTATCAGTGAGCTAGACCCAACGTCTGGCTCCGAGTCCCCCCACAACCATCTTAAGAAAGAAGTCATCGAGAGACGTTTTTTGCTGTCATGCTCTTTGTCCATAGCATGTAAAGAAGCTCATCTGTGCTGCTGTAATTCCTTGCCACTCCATAACCTTGTCCTGTGCTGCCCTTTGCTACCGGCTTCCGGCATCTTGGGCCTTTGCCTGCCTGCGTTCCGCTTGTTCAAACCAGTTTCAAACTCGTTCTTGTTGTTGCTGTGGCTCCCAACTAAACCTTGGGCTTGAGAGTAGTTTCCAAATGCCTTTGCCGCATTACAGTTCTCCGGGTCCTTTGCAGGAACCTGTGGAAAAAGAGCTGCAAACTGGTTGACCTCTGCTCCTCAAAGGCGTAGGAGCAGAAGAGACCTGGAGCAGTGTTGTCCGTGGGAACTCAAGCAGTGGTGCTTGTTGCTAAGGTCAAATTCAACCCCTCCATTTAGTTTACAATCAGCATTTTTAACATTCAGTATTCAGCCTTCTCCTTCACTGGTCTTGGGATCGTCCCTTTCCAACAGAGACACGCTTCGCTGCATCCTTGTCCCGGGAAATACATTGTTTGTGCCTTTCTAACATCGGCCTTTGAACTTTGCCTCTGATTTGCTGCTCTTTAATTTTTGGAACACTGTTATGGTGTACAGGTTCGTACATTTCTCTTTCAGGATAAACAAAGTCTACACGTACATCTTGTCTTTAATGTGTTTTATTAGAAACAGCCCTTGGTACAGAACCAAAGTAGTTTTATCTTATAAATAACAGCAAAGAAACGCCGAGCCAAAACTCAGGAATGGCTTCCTGGTAGCCTGAGCAAGCTTGGCTGGCTTCTCTGGGAGCACCTTTGCCCAATCGGCTCAAATGGCACTGGAATTGGGGCTGGTTTTCTTTAAACACGTTGCACACAGGCTAACAAACAGGAGTTTTTAGGTAGCACAAAGCACGTCCCTCTGCCCACCTGTGACGTTCAGGCTGCTTTGAGAGATGCAAAGCAGGTGATGTTGTCTTAGGCTGACGTCATAGCCAGTGTTCCCTCTAAGCTGAGTTAGTGTGAGCTAGCTCACAGTGTTTTAGCCTCCGGCTCACACATTTTTGCCTTAGCTCAGGAAGGATGGCTCCAGAGCAAACTAATTTATGCAGTAGCCAAATCACTCGCTCACAACTTCAATGCCAGTAGCTCACAAAGTAGAGTTTTTGCTCACAAGATTCCATAGCTTAGAGGGAGCATTGGATTTAGAGATTTCATCAAAGTCCTCTGGCAGAGTGCTGCCCCAACCCAGCTGTGCTTGGCAGAGCTCCCTGGGCAGAGCACAGTGCCCTGCTGGAACCATGGCTGGGAAGCGGGCGTACCTGGGCACCAAAGGAGAGATACGGAACACCCCAGCACTTTACAGCCATGGGAGCTAAACCTCTCCCAGTGTGAATCCGGGCTATGGAACATCTGCATCGAAAGCTACTGATTCAAGGTCTCCGAGAAAGGGCTGGAACCTTTTCCCCTCATCACCTGACCAGAGACCTCCCTCCCGCTCTGAAATTAGGGGCAAAGGCTTGCAGCCACTCCCATCGCCTGCTTGGTTTGGACTAACAGGGTGCTTGAGAATTATGCGCTCCCCTCTTTGCAGGTGTCTCAACAGCAGAGGCTTGGCTGTGCGGCCAAGTGGGAGGCGAGCCCCCTTTCTCCCCCCGCTCCAGCTGCACTAGGCAAGCACAGTCTCTCCGGTGCAGGAATCGAGAGATGAAGAACCTCCACTCTGGATAAGCTGCTGTGCTTCTGAGTCCTAATGGCCATGGTAGTGAGCGTGGGATAGTTCAGAAGGTAAAGCCAGAGGGGGCCAGAATTTCCGGTTTGGGGGGGGGGGGCAATCCATGGACTGGTTAGCTCTTTGTTCCTCCCGGCAGCTAGCAGAAGCAGGCTATGGCCATGCAAATATAGTTTATTTTCATAACGTTCCATTTGCGTACTTTATTCAGAGAGCGGAAGTGTGCTTTTTTCAAAGCACAGGTTATTGCTGCACATCACGGCATATAGGGCTTCCTGAACAACCCACGGGGATATGAGCTGTCGATGGCTTCTTTGCATCACCCAAGCTTAGCACATCCTAAGGAGGAGTAAGCTGGGCTCCCACCCCCAAGGCTACTACAGACTGAGTGATTACTCCACAGACAAACCAATGGAACGGCTCACCCATGACAACGATCATCAGTAAGCCCAGCTTGCAGCAAGGAGGAAATTTCTATAGACCAAAGACAGTCTCTAGCTTGTGGCCTGACTCATGTGACCCTCCCCGTTTGCATATTATAACCCGTTTTGTCTATAGCTGCTCGCAATAGAAAATTCCCTGCCTAGGATTTGGATGATTAAATGGCTAGAAGCAAGCTTTTGTAATGCTCCAAGGGGCAGATGCAAATTTTGGCACACGGCAGACCAACTTCCAGGAACTTCTGCATGCACGGCAACTCGTGCTTGTTCCTGTCCAACATCATGAGGTTTCTGCCTGCTTTTCTACTTAAAAGAGATGGGTAAGGGAAGTGCCCTGTTTCCAGGTCAGAGAATCGAAGCTGTCAGGTTCGGCATCGCCGAGGGTTTCCGTCCGGCTTCCAGCATGCTTAACAAAATCCATTGCAGAGACTAGATTGGTTCTGGAGATCCTGTTTTGACCAGCCCTGGAGCCGAGTGCCCGGCTTCCTTTTGGCTTGTACTGGCCTCCAAAAATTTGGGAGCCTCCTGAGCGGCTGTCGTGTCAGTGACGCAAGCGGCAGAGCAGCAGCAAGCGCCGGGAACGAGAGGAGCTGTGGCCACGCCCCATTCTCGCCATCATAAGGCCTCCCCAGTTTCATTCAAAGCGGCGGAGGTGATTGTAGAGGGACTGCACGTAGGTGAAGACGCACATCGGGTCCGGCTTGCGGCCCATCACCATCATGTCCTCCACTTCTATCAGGCGATCGCAACTGGCCATTTTCCTAGAAGAGAGGGCAACTGGTCAGTAGCAGCCGGTCAGGACGGATCCAGAAGGAAACAGGGAAATTTGCAAAGGAAGGGAGCCTGATCAGATTGGCTCTCTAAAAGGCCATCTTCCTAGAGGGTTTCCTTGGAGCCTTATTTCATCCCCTTCTCAAATGGCACCCATATGCTATATATCAGTGATCCCCAATACGGTGCCTGTGTGCACCATAACGGCCGCCGGCGAGTCTCCTAGCTTCTCCCCCAAAGCATTAGCATGAGCCAGTCCTGGTTTCCTCCACCTCACTGAAACAGGAGGTGCTCAGGAGGAGGAGGAGGAGGAGGAGAAGAAGAAGAGATTGGATTTATACCCTGCCCTTCACTTAAGAGTCTCAGAGGGGCTTACAATCTCCTTCCCTTCGTCTCCCCACAACAGACAGTAGGTGGGGCTGAGAGAGCTCTGAGAGAACTGCTCTTGAGAGAACCGCTCACCCAGCTGGCTGCCTGTGGAGGAGTGGGGGATCAAGCCTGGTTCTCCAGATTAGAGTCTGCCACTCTTAACCACTACACCAAACTGGCTCTCAAGAATCCTCTACAGATGTGTCTCATCTGTTTGCCATGAGCATCCGTTGAGAAACAGCTACCTTCATCATAGGAAGATGTTTGGCTTCCTTACAGCCTCCCAACATTCTGTGACTGGCCCCAGCCCTCCATGGTGGCCATTTTGTGGCGGTTCCCGCCTCCCATTCTCAACATTCCAAAAGTACCCCAAGGCTGAACAAGAATGGGGATTAGAAGGGTGGTGGTGGAGGAGGAGAGATTCTAAGGCCTGGGTTTCACACAGACTCTCGTTTGCATTGAGCAGCTGGGGATTTGCCATAAACCGGCTGGCCTGCTGTCTTCTCAAGGGCAACGCAGTACTCACTCTGCCATTGTGAACGCCAATTCAAAATTCTCCTTGCGCTTGGCAGGGTCGAGCTCGTTGTAATCGAATGCTTCTGGGAAAAACGAGTGGACAAGAGCGCAAAAGGCCATCCCGTCGCTCCAGCTGGATGAGAAGTTCTGCAGGTCAATGTGCTGTCAGAAGACAAGGAGAATTCGAGCATGGTCATTCCAACCACAGAAAGGGTCACACTGACCCCACTGGGAAGGCAAGCTGGGTGCCCCGTCTTGAGTCTCTGTGGGGCAGACGCTGCAGAGCTTCACTTACCCCCCCCCCCACTCCCGTGAAGTCTCAAGAAGGAGGCAAGGAAAGCAGCAAAGAGGCTAGAGGATTCTCTACCTTATAGCCAATGGTTTTTGAACGGCACCACTCCAAGAGGATCTGCTTGATGCTGCTGGCGCTGGCAACCCCAAAGCTCTGCGATCTTTTTAGCTTAGGCCGAATCTCCCCTTTCCCCCTGGACAAAAGCAGGAGAAATGAAGGTTAGGGTGCAAGCACCGCCTAGGCCTGTGATGCTTGCGCTCTCCTCTGCTTTCTGCCACTGGCACTTTGGCTTGCTTAAGACAATGATTATTTGGGGGAAGGGACAGAGGGAACAGCCCTGGGGGACTTTGGCTTAGGCTAGCATTGGATTACCATATGGAGCAGAGGCCCCTCAGTGGCTATTAGCCACAAGACATAGATGGAACACTCTGTCTGGGTCAGTGATGCTCTGTGTTCTTGGTGCATGGGGAGCAATAGTGGGAGGGCTTCTGGAGTTCTGGCACCACTGGTGGACCTCCTAATGGCACCTGGGCTTTGGCCACTGTGTGATACAGAGTGCTGGACTGGATGGGCTGTTGGCCTGATCCAACATGGCTTCTCTTATGTTCTTAGCATGAAATCCACAGCACAGCTGCACTTGTTCACAAATGCCCAGCTGGCTGTCCTTTGGTTCGGTATGTATCCACAGATGCCTCTGGCACGACCATGCAGGGACCCCCTAAAGGTGGCCCCCTGCCTTGGGATTATCTTCTGCTTCTGCTTCCTTCTTTCCTCACTTCTGGCTATCTCCTGATGTCTGTCAGGATCTCCACACTACCCCTCAACCCTCTTTCTTTTTGTCCAGTTAGCTTGGCCTCAGACAAGCACCAATGTTCCCTCTAAGCTGTGGAGTCTTGTGAGCAAAAAATTCTACTTTGTGAGCTACTGGCATTAAAGTTGTGAGCGAGCAATTTGGCTACTGCCTAAATTAGTTTGCTCTGGAGCCATCCTTCCTGAGTCTAAGGCAAAAATGTGTGAGCCGGAGGCTAAAAAACTGTGAGCTAGCTCACACTAACTCAGCTTAGAGGGAATACTGACAAGCACCCCCCTACTCTGGCCAAAAAACCCCCCAAAACCTCCCGTCATAGCTTGCTGATGGGCTGAACTGTTCACATTGAGGCTGTGCTGTGTGTATGAGTGCTTGGTGGGCACTGGCCTCCGTGCAGTGTGGGAAACTTCTAGTTGGTCTTACAGGGTATGCAAGAGTTATCATTCATTAATCACATTTTGTCCTGTCTGTCCACCTCCATTTGATACGCAATTCCTCTCCATTTTATGCTCACAACCACGCTGTGAGGTAGGCTCGACAGCAACAGAGGAGCCCAAGGTCACTCTGTGACCTCCGTGGCCAAGGGGAGACTTGAATTTGGGTCTTCCCAGTCTTAGCCCGACGTTAACACTGCACCAAACAGCACACAAGCTCTGGTCCTAGACTGGTCCAGACGAACTGTGTAAGCTGGGGGAGTAGGGGTACCAGTGCATGCCTCGACACTGCTGGAAGCATATTAACCAAGTCCTTTCACAAACCTGCCCTCCCACTTGTACAGAGCTGCCCAAGACTTCATGCTGCTCTCAGGATCTCGCCCTCCTCCCTCCACCCCTCCCTTGCATTTAAGTCACTGGAGCAGGCCCAGGATCAACATACTTTCCACGGTCCTGGTCAAACTTCTCAAACAGCGCCTTCCTGGCCTGCGTTCCTGAAGTGCGGGGCAGCGTCTGAGACCTCACCAACTCTCTCCGTTTTTCCACTGGCCGATGGGCCGTCGGAGGCGGGGAGTGGGGTTTGGAGGCTATGTCATTCTGGCTGGCTGTCACACTGTAAAAAAAGAAGAAGATGAAAATCAACAAATATTTCAGGACAATGGAGCCGCAGCAGATGGTGCCAGAGCACTCCACAGAAGCAGGACAGTGGCAGAAGGCCGCACTTGGGCATACCAACCTGCATTAGGGTTAAGGCGACTGCAGCCCCCTCCCCACAGAAGTCACCGCTTGGCAACCCAAGCAGGCTCACCTCTCGCTAGCCTGGGTTCCGCCAGTCATTCCATAGCTCATGGCCGACGTGGACTTTGTGACGGAAGAGGATTTCTCTGCACAAGGAACAAAACAAAGGAGTAAGTTTCCTTCCACCGTGTCGTCCTTGGAGATGGCTCCAGCAGGCAGCAGTCTGCTTTTGGGGCACTGCTGTGTGTGCAAAGTTAACAACAGAATGTCTGAGATGGTCTTTGATAGTAATAAACCATTCACTCACTGACAGTGGAACCAGGCTCTGTGCAGGAGGAGAAAAGGACCATGTATGGCCGAGATCAGGCTGCCACAAATTTCTCTTCCCCATCCCTTTCTGGACGGCACTATGGTTGGCCTTGGTCAGACATTTTTTTCTGTAGCTGTTTTGGAACAGGCTGCCTAAAGGTGTATGCAAAATCGTGACTCTTGGTCTTCAGAAAAGCCCATGAAATGGCACTAATTCCAGAGAGTCTTCAGTTGGAAGTGATTAGCTCAAGCAGACTTTGGACACTGAGACATAGTTTATTTGAACAGTAAAATTTATAAATGGCTGAAGCTGATGCACACTTATGTTTTTAATTTGATTTATTATAGGGCTGAGTCTTAGTTATATTTTCATTGGGTCAGATCCAACCAGCTTTTCTGCTTGGGAAAAAGGAAGGATGGGTCCCCTTTGACTTCCAGAAAGGCTATCCTGGGGAATCAAAAGACTTGCATGTAAAAAGATCACGTGTAATATAGAGGGGAACTGGGTATGATTTAGTGGGAAAACCTGGCTGGATCCAGCCCGCTAGTCACAGATAGAAATGTAATCAGTGTTTTCTTTTAACTTGCGTAGCGACCTGCTCTGAGCTTTTTGGAAGAGGAAGATGTCAATGTTTTAAGTAAATACATAAGGAGACCTGGCACTTATGACGCCATGGGTGCAGGGGACAGATCCAAACATTCTTATGTTCTTACATGAAAATGGAAAGATGATACCATGAGCCAGGCCACATTCAGACGTTTTACATCTGGAAAATGTCAGCTAAGTGTTCCCAATAAAGAAAAGAACTGTATTCCCCCTTCAAGTGGAAAATCCAGGGATAATTCAGGGATTGAACCTGGTACCTTTTGCATGCCAAGCAGATGCTCTACCACTGAGCCATGACCCCTCCCCTCCCCCATCTAGACAGGAGGGGGAGATGTGTCTCCTGTATGCCAACAACATACAACTTTTTCATCTAAGACTTGCTGTGCCTGGAGGGAGTAACAGACTGGATGAGAGTAAACAAACTGAATCCAGCTGTGGTTGGAGGTGTTGTAAGGTGAGAGATCTCCCACCTTGAGTGAATAGGTTCACAGCTCATGGGTGCTTTTAGATCTGTCTCTAACTTTGGACAGCCAAGTAACATCGGTGTCTCAACGCCGCCCACTTCACCAGCTACAGTGGCGGCAGCCTTTCCTAGAAAGACAAGACTCAACTGCACTAACCCACACTTTGGACACACTGAGGCTTGACTGCTGTAATGGGATCTGCGTGGAGCCACCTTAGAAGACCTCTGGGATACCAGCTTGTCCAGCCAGAGTGTTGTCCAGCCAGAGACACGCTGCAGTGATCGTTACCACTCAGGTACTGAAATAGGTAGTTCTTTTGTTTCTGGGTGCAACTCAAACTGCTGGTATTAGCTCTTAAAGTGCTACACAGTTTCCTGCAGTATGAACTTGCCTGTCTATTACAACACTGCAGAAAGGCCCTTCCTGGGTGGGCCTTGAAGGAGAAGCAGGCAATGGTGACCAAGGCTAGGAACTTCTCAGTAATGGTGCCAAGTCTAAGGACTCTCTCTCCTTCAACTTGGCCTGGCATCTTTTCTGTCAGTGCTCAGGTGCCAGGCACCCCCAAGACCCTAGGGTTTTCAAGACAAGAGATAAGCCAAGGTGGTTTTCCATTTCCTGCCTCTGTGTAGGGACCTCAGACTTCCTTGATGGTCTCCCACCCAAGTACTAACCAGGGCCAACCCTACTTAGCTTCCAAGATCTGATGAGATCAGGCTAGGTTGGACTATCAGTCTGCTAGTTGAATTCCTAAACATCTAAAAGTGCTGCTATATGTCCCATTTTATCCGCAGCTGGTCTGAATGAGCCTAGTTTAGTGATCAGTCAGAGTGACTTTATGTATTTGTAGGACGATTGTTTTAAATGAGCCAAAAGCCACTTTGAATGCTTGAGAAAGTGGGGGATGAACAGTTTAAATCAATGGATCCAACTGGGTCTGTCGCTTGCCAAAATCCAGGGGTCATTTCGTAGAAAAAGAGGTGCAGAAGCTCATTAGCATAACTCATTAGCATAACTCATTTGCATATGCAACACACCCTGACATCACCGGAAGTGTGTCAGAAGGCAACACCCACCACTCAGGCTCCACTGGACTGTTTTGGATTGCTAGCTATTGGGGGGGGGGGGACATGCAGATCTGTCCTCGCAGAGGAGGGAGAGCTAGTACCTGAATAAAACTTGGTCTTAAAGGTGCCACTGGACTGTTTTGGGCCGGGGGGCTCTGCAACTTACCTAACTGCTTCTTGCTCTGACTGAGGGCTGCTGGGAGCAGGGGGTGGGGCTTGTTGCATGTGCCCGCCCCCTGGGCTCTTTACTGCCGGAGCTCCACCCTTGTGCGCTCCTGCAGGAAATGACCCCCATCAAAATCACTGGTCCCCTGAGCTTCAGTGAGTCCTCACTGCTTGGGCAAACATGGCTGTGTGAACCCGTGGCAACCTATTCTGGCCAAGCAGCCCTTCCTCCAGACTGGTTCAGAAATTCATCACCAGGAGGTAGCCATGGCAACAGCATTTCTGAGGGCCAGGAAAGGGGGAGTCGAACCAATTCTCTTACCTGAGGTGACGGAGGTACTTGTCCTGACAGAACTTGAACTCCAGCTCTTCACAGCACTCACTGTGGGAGGCGGGAGAGGAAAAGCCAGTAACTTTCCGGTGTGTTTTAATATATTTTTTTTAAGTGCGAGGATTTGAAATTTTGGTACAAAACATAATTCTAACACATGCAACTTTTCTCCTAGGAGGACCTTTTCACACACACACACATACCCATGTGAAGTAATACAAGAAAGTTACCCCACCCTCCTCTGGCCTCTTTGTCAGGCCGCTGCCCCCACCTCACAGCAAATTGCCTCAGAGATGGTTTGGGGTACAGCAAACGGATTGCTGAAGAGGATACCGCCCAGCCACGAGCCACCACACACTGTGGACAAAGCAGATCTAGAAGATGTCGCCCCCTAAATGGAGCCCCACTTTTGCAGTTGTCAGCCCGTAGGCCTAGCTCTTCCTGTCAGTTTAGTGTAATGGTTAGGAGCTAGGGCTCCCAAATCTCGCCAAATCGCGGTGGGGGATCCGCATGTCTTCGCAGAATCCGTGCCACGGGGATGGCGAGACGCGTTGCGCCGCCGTCGCCAGGACATGACGCTACGCGTCGCTCTGGCAACGGGGCTATTTGGAGCCCCATTGCCAGAGCGATGTGTTGCGTCAAATCCTGGCGACAGCGGTTGCAACGCGTCTTGCCGTCCCCACAGCACGGATTCTGCGAAGACATACGATCCTCCACCGCGACTTGGCAACCCTATTAGGAGCGCAGACTCTAATCTGGGAGAACCGGGTTTGATTCCCGACTCCTCCACTTGCACCTGGCTGGATGACCTTGGGCAAGCCATAGTTCTGGCACAGCTGTTCTTGGAAAACAGCAGTTTCTGTCAAGAGCTCCCTCAGCCCCACCTACCTCACAGGGTGTCTGTTGTGGGGAGGGGAAGGGAAAGGAGTTTGTAAGCCGCACTGAGACTCCCTTGGGTAGTGAAGGGCAGAGTATAAATCCAATCTCTTCTTCTTCTCTTCAGTGCAGTTCCACTGTGCAAAACCCCTGCTCTTTTGAATTTCTCTGGAGGATACCTCATCCCCTCTGTAGCAAAGCCCCCCAAATATCCCATTTCTAATCCCTTCGAGTCCTAATCCCTCCCAGCCTAGCTGTGCTTGTTTCCTTTTCAACACTAACAGTGCCATCCAGAGCAGAGTTACACCATTCTCAGCCGAATGACTTCACTGGATTTAGAAAGGTGCAACTCTGCTTAGGGATGGCACCCGTAACACTGCCTGGGAGAGTCAAGGAGCGAATTAACCCCATACCTAAGAAGGTACCAACTCTTTGTCAAGGAGAGAGCTCAGAAAGCTTCTCAGGGGCTGTTCTTTGCAAGGAGCCAGGATTACCCCTGTCTGACTCCCCCTTTGGGGGCCTCTTTGGGGTTTTTACCTGATTGATTTGAAGTTTTTGACACAGCCTCACTGTGGCTTTTGTTCGGCTGCCCTCCAGGGACACTCGGTGTAATTGGCCCCCCAGAGGTTTCTCCTGAAAAGGTTTCCGATACTCTGGTTACCGCGGTAACCGGAAGGTGCGGCATCCGTGAGCTCACTGCTGGAGCGTGTGCCTCAGGGGTTGCATTTGGCAGGTGAAGAGGTGAGGCTGGTTCCGGAGCAAGCTTGGCCAGGCCTGAAATCCAAAAACAAAGCAAGTAGGGAGACAGTGTGAGAAGTCAATGCCTGATTGTGCTCCACATTCACTGCAAAACCACAGGATTTATTTATTTTTGAAAGTTCTGTTTCACATTCCTGAAAAATCACTTTGCCCAGCTTCGGGTGGGGGGCATTTGTCTTCCCTTACAGTGATGTCAGTTATGGTAGTTTGTGCAAAACACAGCAGTAAATCAGCACAAAAACTCCATCCTAAATTGCTCTCATCCGCTAGAGCAGGGGCCCCCAACGTGGTGCCCAGGGCACCATGATGCCTGCTAACCAGGGCTTTTTTGGTAGAAAACCCCCAGCAGGAACTCATTAGCATAACAGGCCACACCCAACAGCAGAAACCCCTTAGTATATTAGGCCACACCCATGATATCACTGCTCATTAGCATATTAGGCCACACCCCCATGTTACCAGCGGTGTGGTCATCCAGCCACACCCACCTTTTGCTTCTTATTCTGTTTACCTTGTTTGTTGTCAAAACCCAGGGCTTTTTTGTTAGCAGGAACTCCTTTGCATGTTAGGCCACATACCCCTAATGTAGCCAATCCTAATGAGTTTCTGCTGTTGGGTGTGGCCTATTGTGCTAATAAGTTCCTGCTGGGCGTGGCCAACTCGGGAACCAGCCGGAACTTCGTTCCTGTGCGTTCCTGCCCAAAAATAGCCCTGCTGCTAACAGCTTTTCTGGTGCCTGCCAAGTGGTTTTAGGAAGTCGATGGGGCCAAGTCTTGCCCAGCAAGACTTCTGATTGGCTGTGCAGATTTTTAAAAATGTTGCTTTGGCACCAGCTGCCCCCATAGCACAAGGATCTTCACTGTGTGACTGCAGTTAAGCCGTGGCAACCATTCTGTGGCCGGCTCCACCTCCTGTGGTAGCCATTTTGTGCCAGAATTCCAAGGGTGCCCACAGGCTCTAAAAAGCTGGGGACTCCTGTGCTAGAGATTCTGGTGTCACACATGACATTTTCCAACTCAGAGATTCAACTGTGGGTCACAGAAAATAAGAGGCCAATTTGTTCCATTTGCATGGCCTTTTGCAGCATGTTAACGACATATCAGGGGGGAAAATCTCACTGTGGCTTTAAAAAAACTTTTCATTAATTTTCGGAGAGGCTTGGGAAGCGTTTGCTGTAATTTTAAAGTCAAAGCAAGGCATGATAAACATTCAACAAAAAACCCCCAGAGTGTAGAAAGCCACCCTGCATCCACTCCTATCTCATCTCTGGAAAAGAAGTAGGGATCAGAGAAAGCGAGGAGACCGAGCCATGTCCCTCACTTAGGAGCAACCATGCGATAATCATCTAATTTAAGGAAGTTCCATCATCCCCAAGGTTGCCTTGATGGTTCTCATGGTCTGGAACCCAACCACATTCAAGGCAGTTCTTAAGAAAACTTATCCATTTCACCCCAGGAGTTTTCCTTCTTACCTCCTGTAGGCTGGTGTCCATTTTCAACTATAGAGAAATCAAAAGCCTTCCTGCTCTCTGCATCATTATGATCCTCCAAGTCCAAACTCTGCAAAAGGGATAAGAGAACAATGAGGAGGCGGGGAAACGGGCAAGACAGCTGCACATACTGACTGTGCAGAGCAAAAGATGATCAGCCAGCAAAAGACCCAAGCAGGAGAGGCACCTGGGACTATGCTGACTGTTCAAACAGCCTGTTTGCTGATGCTCACCTAGGCAATAAATCTACTGAATCGCCCAATCAACGCCAGCACTGTCTACTCAGGCTGGCAGTGGCTCTCCACTAGGAACCTGAGATCATATGCATGCAAAACACCTATCCTGACCCACAATCTCTTGTAGGCATGGTGCAGTCTGCCACCGAAGCATCGACTCAGAATCTGGTGCAAAAATTGCATCCCTCAGTGAAATGGATGCTAAGGTAGGCAAACCTTTCTTCCAAACCAATGTGGTCCTTCCTGTCTAGTCCTTAGAAAAGGAACTTTACAAAAGAAGCCCTGCCCCCTGCTCCAGTTTCCACTGTCAAAGATTCATATTCTCTTCTTTTCCCAAAACAGTTCATCTTATTGCTACAAACAATATAGTAACATATGTGTGTGTGGGTGGGGGGGGTGAATAAGCAAATGAATTAGTAACATTCATTCCCCTCAGTGATACAGGGAGCCTGACTGATGTGGGGCAGCAGGTAAATACCTCGGTTTTGTGCTCATCAGATCTCAGAAGCTAAGTAGGGTGAGCCCTGGTTAGTACTTGGATGGGAGACCACCAAGGAAGTCCAGGGTTGCTCTGCTGAGGCCCCGGTCACACGGGAGGCTTTGATCCGCAAGAGGGACGGGTCGGGGGCACACCAAGCGGGCGCGATCACACCGCAACATCTGGGAAGCGGCGCGCCCCCGTCCCCGATCCGTCTCTTCCGGCCAAAGATGCGGATCAGAAAAAAACCTATGAAACACTAGTACTTACTGAAAAATCCGCTGCAGGGGCAGAAGTGTGATCGCCTGCGCGCCCGTCTCTCCTGCAGCATGCAAGATCCTGCCGAACTGTGCATGCACACGCCTGCACAGTGGGCTCACCTTGCTCTGCAGTCCGTGGCTTCCCCCCAAGGAACTGTGCGGCAGCTGGGGGGATCTGGGCGCTTCTCTTTTGGTGTGGCTCAAAAGAGCCGCACTTTGGCCACGCCTATTTCCCCCAGTGTGACCGGGGCCTGAGGCAGGCAAAGACAAACCACCTCTGAATGTCTCTTGCCTTGAGAACCCTACAGGGTTGCCATAAGTTGACTGTGACCTGATGACACTTTCGACATCACCTTTTAACTATTCTTTAGTGGGTTACAATCTTAACTGTTATGCTTCTGTTTCGAATTTCTTTTTACAAGGCTATTTTGATTTTAGTGACTCTCTGGGTGCGGTCAGACGGCATGCTGAGAGCGGGTTAAACTGCTCTGGTTCTAACCGGATTATATTTGATCTGGATAATCGCGATCACACTTACCTCCCTTATCCCGCCTCACTGCGCAGTCACATTGCTCCCTGGCGTCTACACTACTGATGCGCGGGAGCATGTGTCGGCGGGTTTTAATTTTTCCCCCTCAGTTTGTGCATGTGCATAGGTGCCCCTCCATAGAAGGGGGGGAACTATCATGGCGCATGCGCAGAACCACCCGGGCGAATCAATCCAACCCCTCCAACAAAAGACTTCCCTTTAAAAGTTTGACCTGAAAATGGCCTCTGTGAGATCCTGAACTCATCTAAATGCTAAAACAAGTGACCATTTAAATGTCGGTTTTCTAAACGTGGTGGTGGAGCTCCACCTATGCGCGCACCGGCAACACATTAAAAAAAATGGAGGGTGAAAAGCGGAAGCCTCAGGCAGCTTTCGAGCGGGGAGGGGGTTTAAACCGGAAGTGACTCGACACCGCAGGAGCGATCAGACGTCAGAAAAGTGCAGCTAGAACCAGAGAATCAGGAAAACACCACTTGGGGACCTGGTAACAAAATACTCCGTTTTAAAGGGTGTTTGAGTTGGAAAGTGACAGCTGGGGACGGTGCGCAGATGTTGGGTGTGTGAAAGTGGATATAAAATCCGTTACTGAAGCGTGCCAAAAGCGGACTAAACGGCCCGTCTCACCGCACCCTCTAGGTAACTGTCGGGCTTTTAATGTTTGTCTTGAGAACTAAATGGTCATAAGCAGGATGTAAATATATCTCAAATAAGCAATGTTAAAAATATACAGTATTAGCATGCCATAGTGGATCTGCGCATAAACACCCTGGGAGAGAAGGAGGGCTCAGGCTTCATTGTCCTTTAATCCCATTTTAAAATGCTGCAGCCCAGAAAGGCAGGAGGCTCTGAAAACTTTCTCCAGCAGTGGAGCTGATGCTTCTGCTATTCACTACTTTATATGAAGGCTCTTATGATTCAAGTTTGCCAATGATCACGTGCTGAATCACACACTGTTCTGGGGTCCACCCATTGGGACCTGCTAAGCAGACATGCTCTAAGGGTTCCTGGTTGATACGTGATTTCCTGGGTGCATCCTCAGATCAGGACCACAAGTCTCCTACACATACTGTTTTCCTCACCTGGAAATGACTCCGGGTAGCTGGCATTTGCAGCACTGAGGGCTAACAGTGGCTGCATGAGCCATTTCGAATTAGGAAAGGCTTGTGCCCCCCTTCTCTCCACAGTCCCAATCCAAATTGGCCCCTGAATGCCTGAAAATCCAAGTTTCAACTGGCAACCCCTCCCCAAGCACATCTGCTTGACCCGACAAGACCCAGAGTGGACTAGAGAACAGTGTATCTCGCCGCAGACCCTGAATCGTTGGCAGATCTGGAATTTGAACATGTATCTCCTAAATCAATGCACAGTATTGAAGTCTCAGACTGGCAGGGACTGCTACAATCTGTTTCCCTGGAAAATATCATATGAAGTAGCTTTATACCGAATCAGACCCTTGATCCATCAAGGTCAGTAATGTCTACTCAGACAGGCAGCGGCTCTCCAGGGTGGCAAGTAGAGGTCTTTCACATCACCTGCCACCTGATCATTTTAGCTGGAGATGCTGGGGATCAAACCTGGGACCTTCTGCATACCAAGGCAGATGCTCTACCACTGAGCCACAGCCCCTCCGCATACTCAACAGCACATAGCTAACTTAGCTGGATACACTGGAGTTGCAAACTGTTTGGTGATTGCTCCCCACGGAAGCTAGGGCTGCTGAGAGTGATACGAAATTCCAAGGACCCGAGTTGCCCTGGGAGAGAAGAGCAGCCAACCTATTCTAAATCAAGCTTCTTCTTTGTGTCCTTCTGCTTGTGTGTGGGCCCAGAGAGAATTGTTGTCTGAAAGTTCACACTTTGGCAACTCCTTTTAGAATGGAGAAAGGCCTAGTTGCTGATTATGTTTGTTCAAGATCAGAACCTCAGGGATCCCTGACAACAGAGGACTTCTCAGACTAACCGACACACATACACAGAGCAAAATCCAAAGCAGGAAACTCTCTCATTAAGGAGTTATCATGGCAAACACCAAGTTTAAACAAGCCAGCCAGCTCCACCGATCCTGCACTTGACTTCTTTCCTGCCAAGATGAAAACACAGCTGCTCCTTATTGACTGTCCAGCACCCCGGATTATCTGTATGGCACAAGGAAGACAGTGTTTCTGGTTCACAGCCGAAGGCAGCCTCAGTCAGATGTTTATTCAAAAAGTCCCTGGCAACGTAATGCTTTAATTTGCAAATAAGGTTTCTGTTCACCTTGAAACAAATGGAATTGTGGACTGAGCGCAATGGGATTTGCTGTTGATGGACAGATCCAAGGACTGTTCTAGGAGACAACAGACAGGCAGTGCATGGTGCTATCAAAAGTTTGGTTTCTCCACCAATGTAATGCATTGGTGCTTAAGAAAGTAGACAGTTATAAAATGGCACCTGGGCTTGTATACAAACATAACTGGAGTGGTCGACTCTCGATGGGAAGCTTTCTCGCTTTGTTGCTTCCAAAGGAAACATTTCCTCACCAGGACCAAGTTCGGGAACAGTCGTTCTGTCTTTTTGCAGCAGAATGTGACTGTACAAAACTATCTGAAGAAGTGAGCAGTGACTCACAAAAACATACCCTGCCACAAATTGTTGTTAGTTTTTAAGGTGCTACTGGACTCTTGGTCCTTTCTACTGTAAAAAGGACTAATTCGCTTGCATCTGTGATGCCTCAAAATTCATGTCCCTCTGATAACAGAGAGACCAAAAGGTGATTCTGTCCTCTTACCGCTGCAGTGCCCTGACCTGGATAGTCCAAGCTAGCCTGCTCTCATCAGAGCTCAGAAGCTGAGTAGGGTCAGCCCTTTTTAGTACTTAGATGGGAGACCGCCAAGGAAGTCCAGGGCTACTACGCAGAGGCAGGCAATCACAAACCACCTCTGTTCATCTCTTGAATTGAAAACCCTATGGGGGTTGCCAGAAGCCATCTGTGACTTGACAGCTCTTTCCTCTACTGCCACTACAATCCACTGATCTGCATTATCAATTCATAGTGTCCCACACAGCCCCCAGAATCTAGTTTCTGTGGGTCGGAAAGGACCGCAGGAAGGAGGGAAATACAGCAAAAACCTGCATTCCTACAGCTGGTGGTAGAGAAGACGAAGAAGACGAAGATGCGATTTACCCCGCCCTTCACTTGGAGTCTCAGAGCAGCTTAGAGTCTCCTTCCCTTCCTCTCCCCACAACAGATACCCTGCGAGGTAGGTGGGGCTGAGAGAGCTCTGAGAGAACTGCTCGAAAGAACAGCTCTGCAAGAACTGTGGCTGATCCAAGAGGCCTTTGTTCAAGACCTCCAAGCCTGTACACAGAACTTTCCCCTCACGCCAGAGATAACATCTGAGATACCAAAAACAGAGTCTGCAGGTATGGGCATTGGTGGCCAGCTGGGGGATCTGCAGTTGGTTCTGGCAAAACGAGGACAGGGCTTCTCTGCATCATCAACCAGCTATACCAGAAAAAGGGACTCAAGTCTCTCTATGGATGCTGGCTTTTGCACACGTTAGCACAA